GAAGGACATACCTGCTCAGGTGTGAGGTTGTGTTAGGAGAGAAGGACATACCTGCTCAGCTGTGAGGTTCTATCATGAGAGAAAAACATACCTGCTCAGGTGTGAGGTTGTGTTAGGAGAGAAGGACATACCTGCTCAGGTGTAAGGCCCTTAATCTTGGGAAGGGTTTCTCCAATGAGCCCCTGCTTTCCTCTCAGCAAGTACTGGAACTCCTGCTCATAGCTGGGCTCACTATACATGCAACACAACATACAATCAGTTAGCAGTAATAGTTTGCATCTTCTCTCGCCTGTCACTACTTTGAGACAAAGCAACCCAGTGTTAATTAAGGTCAATTAAATGTTGACAGCTTGCCGCACACCTGCCATGGCGTGCCATTTAACGCCTAATCACTCAAGTGTCTCTCAAAACAAGCAATCTACACAGTAATGACAATAGATTTGAGTCGATGGACAGTAATTACATGTGGTATGCTGAACTTCATGCAGTATTACAGATAGTACCTGGTGACTCCTCGCAGGTGAATGCGACTGAGTAAGATAGCAAAGATGATGCGATCCTGGTGCAGCATGCCTCGCGATACACGGTTGTAAGCAACCTGCAGAAACACACGAAAACACATAGCAACAAAGTAATCATAATCATGACTGTGTATACATATGATATACAAATGTAGAATAGCGATAACCCTAACTCGTATATATGTTAGTTCATCAAATAATATATGAGTAAACAAATGTGTGTGGGATTTCGACGTAATTTTTATAGAAAGAGCATGGAAGATTCACAGCACATACTTCTGCACACACAATTCCTAATGTAAGACCAGTTGCTAACACTGTTACATGCTATTTTGACTAAATGCCAAAATAATTATGTTAGATAACACTCAAAGGGTAAAACAGTATCAATTTGTTTCCACAATCCTTCATAACTAAACGAGTTACAATAGTGGAACGCCCCATAACAAATTTATCGTAATTATCACGATAAATATGTTACAATTTAGCATTACGTATAGTTCACTGATTCGACTAACCGCTAACGCAGAGAATACACATGTTACTGCACTACAGCATTATTACTCAGCCATAATAATGTAGCTTTTCGCATGGTGAATATATGGAACGCAAGCAAGACAGGTAAACGAATAACCACTCATTAAACCAGCAGCACGGAGCAGTTCTCTGCAGGCTGTTCTGTGAGGACTACCTGGAACAGGTCAGCGGTGATGATGGAGAGGCGCGCGTTGTAGTCGGTGACGTTCACTAGCCGGTTGTTGTTGTGCAGCACAGCACTAAAGATCTCCAGGAAGAACTGCAGCGAATACTGGTACAGGAAGTGGACCTGTAACACACAACACACACACATAACATATAGCAGCACAACAGCAATGAAACTGCAGCGAATACTGGTACAGGAAGTGGACCTGTGACACACAACACACATATAACATAGCAGCGCAACCACAATAGAATTGCAGCAAGAGTACTGGAACAAGAACAAGACCTGCAACATAACATACAACAGAAGAGCAACATCAAAACTTGGTGGAGACATATAGATTCAATTTTAAACTAACGCTACATTTATGTAATAACCAATCAACACTTGGTAAAAGTAAACTATGTGAATCTCACAACAGCAGCAATGTTTGTGCTTTTCTATTATCCAAGCTGGATTTTTCTGCTTTATTAACCTGCGTTGTACCTGCACACTATCGAGTTCAGTTCGCAATAGGTGATACCAGCAGTGAAATCTGAGAGCATTTAGCACACAGCATGACATGCACAGTGCAAGCAGGTGACTCCACCCTCACTTAAAGAATCAATTTGACTTATTTCCCCGCACATGTCACATTCACTTGAGTTATTAGGTCGGTTTAGCTCTGGAGCGCGCACGATCCCAATATTGCAATCTCGACAAAAAATTATATGTAGTAAGCGCTGCACCCTACCTAATTGATAGCCAGACTCCAGCCTCATGTTGGGGGAGAATGATACATAGTAAAAGTGACGTGCACTACCTGGTTAAGAGCCTCCATGGTGAAATAGATGGAGCTGCAGGCTATCGACAGTGGCATGTACTGCTGAGAGGTGGCGTCCACCTCTGCCATGATCTTATCAGTCTCCTCGACCTTCTTGCTCACCTCCCCTGCCTCATGCTTCAGCTTCTCCAGAGCACCAATGACACTGCACAAAGAGACGACACACACACACACACGTTGACAATGTGATTTACATATATGTGCTCATACGTATGTTACTGAGGGGGTCATATGCACACTCACACGTGATATTTACAAAAATGCATTTAACTAATTGCAAATACGAGACATCTAACAATAGTAGATTTATAATTTAATTTTTGCAGGCAACACAGATAAATAATGAATTTTGGTTTATCAAATGGCTGGTAAATTTTCAAATACAAGTCATTTAACAATAGTGAATTTATACGTTACTATTTGCAGGCGACACAAATAAATAATTGATTGTGGTTTATCAAATGGCTGGCAATAGTGAATTTATACGTTACTATTTGCAGGCGCCACAAATAAATAATTGATTGTGGTTTATCAAATGGCTGGCAATAGTGAATTTATACGTTACTATTTGAAGGCGACACAGATAAATAATTGATTGTGGTTTATCAAATGGCTGGCAATAGTGAATTTATACGTTACTATTTGAAGGCGACACAGATAAATA